TCTTATAGTTAATACAATGATTAATATAAACATCTGTATACATAAAGGGCATTTCAGAGAATGAGGTTGATTTCTAATTAAAAATAAAATCTGTTCTAAGTTTGTTAGAAGAGCTAGCAACATTATAATATCCAACATCAAGGCTGATAACTTCCCCACCAAACTATCCACACACAGGTATATAGAGGATACATGTGGCACCAGGTGCAGCAGCTCACGTTTGTAATTCCAGCACTTTGGGAGGTCGAGGTGGGAGGACTGCTTGAGGTCAGGAGTTATAGACCAGCCTGGACAACATAGTGAGACATTTTCTCTACAAAAAATAAAGAAATTAGCAGGGTCTGGGTATGCCCAGGTAGTTCCAGTTACTCAGGAGGCTGAGGAGGCAGGATTGCTTGAGACCAGGAAGTCGGGGCTATAGTGAGCCATGATCCTGCCATTGCATTCCAGCCTGGGTGACAGAGTGAGACCCCAACTCAAAATGAAATAAAATAAAGTATGCATATGCAAATATATGTGTACATATTATATTCATACATATGTATATATATTACATTACTATACTTCTAAAAATTATTATGGTTAACAAAATTATAGGTAGTAAGATTGAAATATGAAAGTAGAAAGTTAGAAAGAAAAAATTAAAATTGTACCAAATATAATTTGCAAATATAGTAATGTGTTCAAGACAGCATCCTCTTTAGAAGCAAATTAATTTACATAAGAAGTTGGCTTCATTACATAATCCATCTCCTGAATCACCATCTTCAGTTGTTCAAGAACTTTGGCATGACAGCCTGAACTGCTAAGGTAGCTTCTCCCAGTAAAGTTTTAAACCAACTTGAAATGAAATGTCTTTGTGCTTACATTTTCTTATGTAACAGCCTGGCCTTTACCCAAATTATTTCATTGCTTAGGGGCATGTTTCACTGGACCTGGTCTTATCTCCATCTATGTTGAAAAGATGAAGCATATGAAAGTCTCCTTTCTCCACACCAACCCATAGGATCTCCCTAAGACTGGGGAAGAGGTGGCAGGAAAGCATTAGCTGCTATTGAGTTTACAGGACCGAACTAAAAAAAGAGTGTGTAAAACAGAAAAAAAACTAACAAGCCTCAACAACCCTGTATTATTTCAAATCCATGATAAGAAAGGAATGTGTGTGTGTGTGTGTGTGTGTGTGTGTGTGTGTGTGTGTGTGTGTGTGTGTGTGTGTTTACACCTTTTGGTGGATTAAAAAGTCATCAGTGAGCTACGATTGCTAGTGCGCAACACACATGGTATTTTAAATCCAACAGTGTCAAAAGGGAACTCATTGTCTTTACCTTAAAACTCAGTTTGTGTTCAGTAGTGCAAGACTATCACGGAGATTCTCAAATGGAAAGCTCAAAGGTCTCCTTTGAGGAGACCTGTTCCCATCTCCACTCCTCATGCTCTGTTGTTGCATACCCAATGCATCCCCCATTCCTTCTCCACTGCACCACCCACATTCATTCAATTCTACTCTTGAGTCAGCCACCTGACTGATCCCCTTGCTCAGAACTGATCGCTTTTCCCCACTATCATTTGCACTGCTTTCAGAGCCATGCTGCCAGAGCATACATTTGTTCATAAAACAACCTGCTTCCATTTTTGATGGCTCTCTAAACAGCCACCATGCAGGGAATATTACCATATGCCAGCCACTGTACCAAAAGCTTTACAAGAGGTATCTTATTTCCTCTTCTGCGATGGGTATCTTTAATGTCAGCACTTGAGATGTGAATGCATACCGAGTTACTGTAACTTGTTCATGGTCACTGGGATGGCAAGTGACAGAGACAGTGTTCACCTAAGATGATCTGATTGCCCTCGACTACTCCATTCTAAACTTTTCCTCAGTCTGGCTCCAAATAACCCTCCAGTCTGTTCTGCAGGGAGCTAGTAGACTGTGAACTTTTCAAACTTAGTGATATACATGGAGGGTCAAAAGCTTTTGAACCACTGACCCAGACTATTAAAGTGAAGGGCTCTGTGCTGTCACCCCCCTTCCTTATGAGTGTGCCTCTTCTGAGTCACACATGGTCACTGAAACATCTTGATATCAAGCAAGGAAAAATTAGCACCATAAATGACAGTATTCTGCCCTGTAGAATATGGAATTACATTTCAAAATATTGTGTTTCAGATAATCGCCTGCTACTAATCAACGTTGCCTCAGCTTCGCTTATCATAACTCATTCATGAGAACCACCTGATGAAGGTTAGGAGGAGAAGTGACACTCAATGTACCAGCAGAATAATGTGGACTGTGGTTGTAGTCATAGGTCTGTAATTATATAGGGCCATCCATCTAAGTGGTTATATAATTTCTAAGAAGAAATAGCCAAATTAAAAAAGAAGAAAAGGTTAGATATTGCTAAAATTGCCCTGACATATTCCACACACAGAGATTGATAAATATTTTATTGTTATTCCAGGAAAAGCTTTTAAAGGAATACATAAGCCAGCAATTATGGAGAAGGGATGTCTCCTTCTCTGAGATAGTAGGAATGTCAGCTCTTTGCTGCTAAGGAGAGAAAGGACAGACTCACAATGGCATGAAGGCTGAAATGGACACACACCCACCCATAGGGCCAGAGTCCCAAGAGGCTCATCTTTCTTTACTCATTAACAACAGAAACCACACACAAATATCTCTGATGCAGCGTTTTGTGCAACTTGAATAAATTAGAGGCATTCGACCTGTGTGTACCCATTGCTGTGTTTCTGCCTGACAATCATCCAAACCCCCACGCAGAATGCCTTGCTGGAAGAAGGCCTAACTCTGTGAAATTAATGATCCCATTGTTAAGGACTGGTACTCAGCTCTGAACGGCTAGCTCTGATGTCCAGAGCCTCAACCCATTTCTGATTAGAAACATTTAGGCAAATATTCAACATCATTACCTTGTTTAGATTAAATTGGAGAAACCATAGTGCTCCAAGTTAATTGGGTCCCTTGGTATAATGTTAAAATATTTCAGGTTTTTTGGAGGGGGACACCTACCAGTACTGTCTTAAATACCTTTCTTATAGTCAATATAATTTATTGGAATGTGTATGTGTAACAGATGCATACATTTCCCTCCTGTAAGAGAATTTGCTTACATAAAAAAAAATTACCATGAAAAGTGATCACTGACAGCCAATTACAAGCCATTATGAAAAAGATGCTATTTCCAAAATATTCAAATAATATGACTGAAAAGCTTGTTATTCTGTTCAAAGTTATACATGCCTATATTTGAGATTACACCAAAAATTTGAAATGATATAGAAATTGCTGCTTCAAAAGCCACTCTACAGAGTGTATAGATATTCTTCAACTCATCAAAAGCAGAGGTATTTTATTAATGGCATTTAATAACATAAACAAATAGAACTAAAAACTGTGCAAACATCCCCCAAAGCTATAGTTAGCCCAAAGAACGAAAGGAAGAAAGAAAGAATAACCCTTGGCATTGCTTAAACCTACAGAAAGCCTGCTACAGTAGTTTCTTTCCTTTTTTAAAAATGGTCTTTAAATAAATATATGAGTCAGTTAAGAAAGATATGTACTTGAATTAAAGTGATAATTCTGTCAGGGCATCAGTATAATTAATTGTGGGTGGCAGAAGTTTTAAACAGGGCTAAATTAGGGATTCTAAGTTTATTTATTTTTTACTCATTCAATTGCTGTAACTAGAGAGGCTTTTGGTTGATCTTCAAATTGTGCCTTGTCATGGAATGCCAAACCTACATACTTTTATGACAAGCCCCACAGTATATTTTTTTAATGACCACAATGGAGGTATAATGCATATGCATGAATCTAGTCTCCTTGCTACTACTTACTACACATACACCGTTACACTCACTGTATTTCTTCCACCACCCTAAAATTTCCATCCCAAATATTATACTGTTCCAATGTATTTCAATTGCCATCAATATAAAAGACAAAATTATTTCAGTCACAGAGTTTTTTTTCCTGATAAGCTATTTCATAAAAGAACTCAAGACATGCAGCCTTTTAAATCTCTGCTAGCCTATCCTACCTGCATCAAGGACTGAAATAGCTAAATTTCATAAACAAATATGTTTTGCCACCAATGGGTAGTCGTGTGGTATAGAATGTCTTTTAAATGATGTATTTTCTTAGAAGAGCTGACTGTTCAAGCATCACCTTAAAGCTGATACCAGCTGGTAACTGAACTAATGAGTTCAGAGGCAAAGAATCCATAACACAGCTGGGAGAATTCTGCATTGAGTGCCCATGACACCGAAATGGGGAGTAATCCCATGGTGTATATCCTCTAAAAGTTCAATACAATGGGGGAAAAAGTTCCACCTGAGAAATAATTTTATGCTAATTCTTTAATTGACATTAAAATACTTCAATAGTCATGTCTGTCTAGCTGTCAAATAAAGATATTAAAAAATATATACATTTTTAAAAGGTGCCTGATTGACCACTAATGTCTGCACTCCGAAATTAAATATCAGAGGATATCAAACATTTTCAACATTGCATTCTATCATGAAGAAGAAAGCATCAGACTAAAGAGTTCTTATGCTATCACACTGTGCATACTGCAGTATTTACAAAGAATTTTTATTCAGTTCATTCACATTAATCCCATCTACCTTTTGCCACCCCTTAGTAATAGTTTTTTCATTAACTATATGCATTTTCCACCCACTGTTCTGAACACAAAAGGATCAAGCACTACACTTGCTGCCGCCTCAATAAAGACTAATAGTGTAGTCTTTGCAAAAGGTGAATCCCGAATGATCATTGCGTTCCCAATTCTTAAACTTCAAAGTGAACACTAATTGCCTTGTGGACAATGCACCGGGGCTAACATCTATCATGCCTCCCAGTCTCAAACATTTTCAGCGCAGAACGAGAGCAACACATAGGCAAACCTCCAGCAGCAAAGGATGCAGGCTGCAAAGAAAGCCAGCAGCGATGAGGAATTCATGCTTGTTTCACCTACCGACGTTGTCCATGTCTCAGGAGTGGCGAGGCGCGTTCCGTAGCCTGGCAGCCGGGAAGCCCTGGCTCTGCTGGCTCACGAGGCACCCTGCCCTGCTGCTGCTTATCAGCTCTTGCTGGCACACTGAGCATACTTCATGCACTGTCTGCAGGAGACACCGCCAGGAAATTTATATCTCCAAGGATGACAAACAGCCATTAGCTCCATTACAGGCTGATTAAGAGAGACTGAGCCTATCAAGTGGGTACTTGAATCCCCTGGGGTTTCCACCTCTGTTCTAAGCAAAGGAGGCAAAAAAAAAAATCACTGCAATGTTGAGTGTGCTGCACATTTCAGGAAAAAAGTGCACATGCTATGCAAAACACAGTGACTTCCAAAAGATGCCAGGGCAAACAGGAGCAGGAAGAGGCACAGATTATGAAAAGGTGAAGGGGAATCTTTAAAACACAATACATTATCCTATCCTTGGGGTTAGCCTAAATATGGCTCAGCCTTTATCTCAGACATCACTGAATGACTGGGCAACTTTTCAATTTTAAAGTGTTTTGGTTGTTGAGGGAAGGGAGGAAGGGAGCAGCAGATAAAACACTGAAAAATAAGGACTATCTTTAATATCTCTGTTCTAAATACATACTAAGAGCTGAGTATTGCCATTCAAATTTGGTTATGTTTTCATCATGACTAGTTTTCCTATTTCTGATCAGAATTTCTGCCTACTCTATCCTAACACAGAAATTCAAACTATTTTCACTAAATGTCAAGGAATCATTGTCAAGGAGGTCAAGGGGAATCTATAGTAAGTTAAAATCTTCAGTCAAGAAATCGGAAGATCAAGAAAAATGCACTGACTGACACAGGAAAACCATTTCACTTCTTTTCTTTAATTTGGCAATGTAAAGATGACCCTCAGAGACACCAAAAACTGCTTGTGCCGTCAGGATACAGGGATGAGCAGAGTGCTAAAGAAACACGCCAGGCCTTGTGGCTGTGGCGACGTTAGATTCTGGGGACAGCACAACTGTTTTCTGCATTTTCTCAGATATAGTAAAAAAGATGTTTAATGACCTCATTTAACCTCAAAAAATGAATCCTCAGTACAGGTAGGCTCTCCAGATTTTTTTATTTTGACTGGTTTTTAAAAAACAGTTCTTAGTGTTATCTTACCCCCAAGGTTGCTAAATCTGAAAAGCAATTCATTTATTAAGCATTTCTTTATGCCACTGGAATTCCTATTGACAAACTACTTACAAATTATTTATAATCTAGTTTCCCATTTTAACATCTTCTACGTTTAAGTAGGCTTGTTTTTTAAGGTAACTTCAGGTTTTTCTTATAGATTTGAAGTTCTTTCATGGTTTAAGCAAAATATTTCATTTATGATATCAGGAATAGTTCAGAAATGTTTTCCTCAAAGAATAGCTGAATATTTCACTGATTTTTACTTTGAGGTTTTTATCTCTGTTATTTTAATTCTGTCACACAATTTTAAGGATATATTACTTTATGAATTTTTTAAAAACATTCATGATTTTTAAAAAATTGCTTGGATTCCATAAGACTGAAATCACTGTGGCTTCTTCACCTCATCTACTTGCCCTGATTAAGACCTGCCAACTACCCAGAGTGAGTGTCATCAGCTCAAAATCTAGGGCAAACTAACTATTTTTGAGAAAAAAAAGAGTAGATAACAGGGAAATAAGAAAGATAAAAGAGAGAGAAGATACGTCATCAGGTCTGAGATTTCGGTCAGGAGTAAAGAAGTGTCATCTATTGACAGTGCACAGTGCCTAATATGAACATATTGTCCACAGTTCAAAATGTGACTCTCAGTTATTTTTATTAATACAGTTAGTTCCCTCATGACAAATGGATTATGTTCCAAAAACCTGTTTTACTGGTCATTCAAAACATACTTTTTCTCATAACTACTGACTGGGTTCCAACACTCCTTAATTTATATAAAATCCACAATCTCTTATACACAATTCTAAAATCCAGAAAGTTCTAAAACTTTTAAGTTTGGTTACAAAACCCACTTGATGTTATTACCTGACCTGAAGTGATATGATGCTACTTAAAATCTTTACTTATTACATTTTTTAAAAAATCATATTTTGCTACAGAAATTTTAAAGTTATAGGTTTTAAGAATCTGCCCACACTCTGCTGAGGATAGTCATATATGTGTGTGTATGTGTGTGTGTGTGTGTGTGTGTGTGTGTGTGTGTAGTATTTTATATTACCTTTCTAAAGTAAAAAATCTGAATTCTGAAACACAACTGACCCCAAGAGTTTTAGATGAAGGATTATATGGTCTTTCAGTACATTTTTGCAATTTAAAATAGTAGATGATAAGGATGTGTGGTGATGAATACGTTAATTAGCTGGATTTAATCATCCCACATTGCATACATATATCTTAACATCACATCATACCCCATAAATAAAAATAATTTGTCAATTTACAATGAAATAAAAAATAAAATAAAATGGCAGAAAATAATCCTTAACTCTGTTTTGCCACAAGATCCCCTTATGTATTCAGAAACTTACTACCTCCTTCCCTCACCTGCTAAGTACTCGAACCTCTCTACTGATGTTGCAAGAGATAAACAATGGATGGGCAACACAGACAGATGTCTAGAAATCAGGAAATTAATGTTGAGTGTCTGTTATAAATCTGGCTCTGTTTAAAAACTGCATACATTGCCATGGATGTATCTGCTTCCTGTCTTCTGGTTCTGGCCACTGGTCCTGCCAATGTCTCTCCTCTGTCCCTACTCATCTTCAGAGGAAGGCAAGGCAACAGTGAAAAAAGCACAGTAAGTGGACCACTTTCCTCAGGCCCAAGGGAGAATCCATCCCTCCCTTGACTTAACTCACTTCCACAAGTAATATGCTCTAGCTGGGAAATACTTGAATATAAAATGTTCATAAGGTCCTTTCTAATTGCCCCAGAAATACTGTGTGACAGTGGCACCATCAATAAGTCTAATATTCTACATTATGTTTCTAAATGTGGATTTATTTTGAGTTTTTATTTAGCTTCCCATACTTCTCAGCTTGCTTAGAATAGACGAACTTGTTTGAGGGCTAATGGCAGTTTGGAGCACCTGCATCCAAGTACCTCAGTGCTATTCCACCTTCAGACAAAGGCTACCACCCTCATTGTCCAAATTTGTTAAGAGAGTGTTTGCCTGAGATTGGCGTAAGATGTTTGGAACTTCAGGCCTTCCAGCTGAGGTAGCAACAGCAAGTCTGCCTTGGTGTCCTGTGCCTTCATGGGCATCACCAAGCACAGCTTTACCACATTGTTCTCCAGAAAACTCTATTAGCAACTGTCCCTCTCAATTTCAAGAAAGAGAATGTCTTGGCTTCCTAGAGAAGTTCGGCCTCTTTCCCATGACTTCTTAACTTTCCTATGAGATGCTCTCACTTGTCAGGGACAGAGGGAGGAACCAGTGACAATAATGCTCCAACTTTTCTGACTGAAATCTGAGCCCGGGGGACTAAGGTCAGTTCAAATAGATGTGGAGAACAAAAGTAGAAACACCTCTGTAAGGGGCAAAGCAACTTCAGAATCACAGGCTAAAAATAACATGGTTTGGGCTTTAGCGGACTGATTGGGATCCTTCCCTACAAAGTCAGACTCTGTTCCTTAGGATGTAAAATTAAGAGTGAATTGCCCAAGTAATTCTATTGCTTGGTTCAGCAGATTTCTTGGACACCCAGATCAGCCTATCTGACCACCTCAACCTTTTCACTCTTTGTTTCATCCAAAGAAATACAGAAGTGCTGCAATATTGACTACCAGTAAGAAAGCTTGCTCCCCGTTCATCTTGGAACAGATTCCAGTAGAATCTGTTCTGAAAACATTTCGGCCACTGCTTTTACAAGAACAGCTATCGAATACAGATAGTTTTGGTGAGCAAAATGTCTCCAAAGTACTAACCCAAATCCCTGAACTAGTAACAACAACAACAACAATAAAAAACTCACAGGAGGAAGTTTAGCAACAGAAATTTCCAGGAAGATCTGGGCAAAGAAACTTTAGACAGGTATCTAATGTTCTACACTCTGGGTTTTAGGACAATGCTTATTTGACATGCCTATGTTTTATATTACGCTTAACCACTCTCCTTTTGGGATTTCTGCTGTAAGTTGTGGGAAGGGATAGCTTGAATTACTTGTTAAATTTGCTTCTCTTCTCTAGTCAAGGTCTTTGGATGATGTCTGCTATTCACACTTACCATTTTTAATACCATCTTAATGCAGAGGCCATGAAACTTTTCCACACACTTGGATTGCCTGGGATCTAGATCTGAATGAAGTGATATCCATCAGAAATAGTCTTCTGACATGTATGGATTTTTGATCAAAGTGGTTTGGTGAGTCCATGCTTGGACACCAACCCACTTCTCCAAACACATAGCAATGACAGATAAAATATTAAATATGTAAGTCACAGCTGGGCCCCAAAAGCTAGAGAACCATTTCCATGAATGAGAAAGGAACCAAAAGCTCAAGACAGTGGATGACACTTCTGTCATGGTCTGCTGTGCCCAAGGCCATGTTGTGATAGATTTAAAATAATTCCTGAGGGAACTCTGGGTTAAACCCAGGTTCTGCTTGAATGGAGAGCCCTGACTCAGTAAATAAGGCCGGAAAACAAAATGGTTGTTACACATTTCCAGGAGCCATGATTTTTATAAAGCCTTGATGAGCAGGGGGAGGATAATACTCATAATCAATAAGTAACTGAGCTTCATGCTGGCTCCCTAAATGCTGGCTTGGCAATATCCCCTCAAAATAGAGCAGGAACTCCAAGATGTCATGGATCAGTGGGACATGGTGGAGGTGACTTCAAAACCATAAGACTATTAGAGAGGGAGAGAGAGAGTAAAAACAAAGCCAAAGAAGCTAGTGTATTATTAACTATAGGGTAACTATAGTTAATAATGTATCATATATTTCAAGTAACTTAAAAGAGTGGAATTAGAATGTTCCTAACACAAATAAATGGCAAATGCTTGAGGTGATGGATATCCCATTTAAGCTGATTTGATCATTACACATTGTATGCATGTATCAAAGTATCAGATTAACCCATAAATATGTACAACTATTGAGTTTCCATAATAATT